CTCTCTGAATCCTTATGTCTCTACAAGAGATGAAGCCACACACAATTATCTCAATGATGACAAATTGGATTAAAATAACTAAACTACAAGGTAGCATTAACACACAAACAATGTATATAACAGAGGGAATTAAAGCAAACTATTTATTTTTATGAATAAAAAACGTCTTCAAAACTTCACCACAAGGCCCATTTGCAGCATGCATCCGAAAATTAATCGAAACAGCCACAGAAAAAAGTTATATACTATAAAGTATGACAACAAATTCAAGTTTCAATATAAGATAATGAAGCCAAGCACACATTAAGTACTTAGCAGATAAATGCTTAACGTGATATATACGATAATTATCAAACATATGATAGCAAAAACATTACAGAATACTCACTGTGCTCTCTCGTTGTCAATAACTCCGCCCCTCACTTGCGGTTCTGTGACTGCGGTTCTGAAACTGCTGGTGCTGCGGGTCTGCAGCTGGATATATCTCAATCAACCCGATTCATTGGATGCTGAACGCGGGCAGACACGGAGCCGTCTGCATCTACGTCTATGTTTAGCGAAAACTTTTTGATCCAATTGCAAATTAGGACCTCAACTCATTTAGCCTGATTCATATAATGGGTGTTACGATATGTAATATGTAAACGATGCGGGTAAGTTCACTTTGCAAAAGCGGCATTGCCACAACAGCAGAGTTTACGCTCGGGATGAAATGAGAAACTGCAGCTTGGCGGCTCGCATCGTATTATTTTGAATGGAGCACCATTGTCACATCTTATAAACAGGCAAGTTCATCGCCTCATAGTGTTTATTGCTGAAGTATGATGTAAAGACTTGGATCACCATTTTCTCAATCAGTTGAATGGGTCTTATCTGCTGTATTTAGTATTCAGCAGCAGTCAGCTGTGGTGCTGCCACAGTACAGTAGTGTGGGACAGACAAGTGTTTTATTGTGTGACTGGGGGGGTTTCCTCAGTCGAACTACTAGTAGACTACTTCATCTAGTTGTTTTGAACGTCCTATTTCTGAGAAGAAAAACATCAGTGGAAACTACCTTAATGACCATATTCTATCACAATTTCAGTAGACCTAATAGATGTATAATAAAATTACATTATCATACGTGTCTCATATACTGCATTGTTACGACTTGTCACTAAACAGCTATTTTGTTTCCTCATGATTACAGTAATGCTATGAACACTTGGCAATAACTTTGCATTTTCCCTCCAAATAGCTGTAGATCAGATGCTCAACGATATCTTGGCCATGTGAACATATGAATGTTGTTTCATCTGGAACAGAAGCACAGAAGCATATATAAATACTGCCCACAATAAGATCGTCAAAATAAAATATGTTCTGGAGTATCTTTCTTTCTTCGCATTTCAAAGCAAACTGACAAAACAAACTCCTATTTGTGGGTGGTTTTATTGTAGCTGTTTATGTTAACTTTTAACCTCTCTCATAACTGTCATCAATAAAATAATCAATAAAACTTAGCATCCATCTATTCTCCAAACTGCTTTTTCTATGTAGGGTTGCAGGGAAAATTAGCATTTTACTTTGTTATTCTTTATTTATAGACCTATATTTAAACAAAGTAAAATAAGAAACAAGTAAATATTAAACAAACAAATACAATTATGCACCAGTATTGTTTGTAAAAAATATTCCATGGATCCATGGATGGAATGCACAGATGCCTAATGTTCATGTTGGACTGTGGCTCATCAATTTCCACTCAGCTCATTATTGATTAGAAAGTCGCTGATTGTGACTAGCTTGGCTTAACTACAGTATATGTAAGTCATAAAGCAGTTTGCAAAGAGTTTTTATAGAAGCACTGCTATAGTATTAGGTCTGCATTATTCAACAGCACATAGAGCTGTGATAAGAGGACTGATGCAGGGAGGGTGTTTGTATCTGGAGAGGCACTCAAAGCATATTGCTAGTAAAATGATATTGAACCCTTAGTGCCCTCGATACTCTAAACCCTCATAGACTGTGAGGAACATGAAGTTCACACCATTTAAAGTGCAATAAGATGGGGTTATTTTTCCATTTAGCTTAATAGAGTAACATTGTCTTAAACTTGTGGTCTAATGTCTAATGTTGAGCAGAATCTTTCTTTCTCAGCCAAAGAAATAGAAAGAATTTCACAAAGAGTGAGCAAGAGGCATCATTTGTTTTCAAATTTTCTGTGCAATATTTAGGCTTCGGTTCATTTGTTTTTCACATAATTTGAAGCCTGAGCTCCCTACTGTGGCAGTGAAAGAGAGAGAGAGAGAGAGATTGATGCTCATCAGTCTTGCCCATGTGTTGTCTCACTTCAAGCTTGGTAATAACTGCTGTCTGCCGGGTCTCTTAACGTGAGGATGATGAGAGTAGAATTGCTCTGGATTGGCCCCCCAACAGTAGTTTGAGCTCTGAAAAGAGAACTGACCTTATGGTAGAGAAAACAACTGGAGATGAGGTTAGAAACTGTGGAGGAAATGTTATTCTATATTCATATTATTAGTAGTTTTATTTGCTTTACTCTACTAAAGAGTGTTTTTTTTACCATTAAGATGGCAATAAGATGGGGTTATTTTTCCATTTAGCTTAATAGAGTAACATTGTCTTAAACTTGTGGTCTAATGTCTAATGTTGAGCAGAATCTTTCTTTCTCAGCCAAAGAAATAGAAAGAATTTCACAAAGAGTGAGCAAGAGGCATCATTTGTTTTCAAATTTTCTGTGCAATATTTAGGCTTCGGTTCATTTGTTTTTCACATAATTTGAAGCCTGAGCTCCCTACTGTGGCAGTGAAAGAGAGAGAGAGAGAGAGATTGATGCTCATCAGTCTTGCCCATGTGTTGTCTCACTTCAAGCTTGGTAATAACTGCTGTCTGCCGGGTCTCTTAACGTGAGGATGATGAGAGTAGAATTGCTCTGGATTGGCCCCCCAACAGTAGTTTGAGCTCTGAAAAGAGAACTGACCTTATGGTAGAGAAAACAACTGGAGATGAGGTTAGAAACTGTGGAGGAAATGTTATTCTATATTCATATTATTAGTAGTTTTATTTGCTTTACTCTACTAAAGAGTGTTTTTTTTTTTCTTTTTTAAATGCCTCCTTAATGTGCTTAAGTTTGTCATGAGATGAGAGATAACAGGAAATCTAAGTGTAAGACAAGTGTGAGACAGGAAATGTTATTTTAGCTTCTTAGACGTCCTGGCTTCTTAGAAACCCACCTGGAGGACATAGTTGGACACCTTAAATGGACATACAGTATATATTGAATATGCATTATGATTGGATGAGATCAAAGCATCCGCATTTGATGAAGGTATAAATGTTGAGCTGGGGTGTTTCCTCTTTGTCACACTCTTGCGAGAAAATAAATCTTCAAAAGACTTTTGTCTCATACCTTTATTGAAATAGAAAATTCCCACGCCAGAAACAGATTTGACATGATGAACAATCTTGCTGTAGATACATAAACTTATAGAGGACAAACTCTCAAAATTAGTAAATCACTCTGGGTGCCAAACTTTATCTTCTCCCAAAACATGTCTGTGAGAGGAAGTGGGTTTGAGGTCATTTGTGAGTTGCACAGCATTCATCTTGCCCATTTTTATTTAAAATGCTTGGCATCGCTGCAAAATGTCAATGTTTTGTCTAAATACTAAGACACTTTGAAACTACCGTTTCACTCAAACTGCAATGCTGACAACATTATTTGTAATAAAAGTGTTGTATTCATTTAGAAAAGAATGCAAAACATTTTCACTAATGGTCCCATGACCTTTGCATCCCACTGCTTGTGTATGTTTTTTTTAAGAAGTAAGTAAATATTTGACCTTTAAAGGGGTCATATGACGTTGCTAAAAAGAACATTATTTTGTGTATTTGGTGTAATGAAATGTGTTTATGCGGTTTAAGGTTCAAAAAACACATTATTTTCCACATACTGTACATTTTTCACTCAAACTGCAATGCTGACAACATTATTTGTAATAAAAGTGTTGTATTCATTTAGAAAAGAATGCAAAACATTTTCACTAATGGTCCCATGACCTTTGCATCCCACTGCTTGTGTATGTTTTTTTAAGAAGTAAGTAAATATTTGACCTTTAAAGGGGTCATATGATGTTGCTAAAAAGAACATTATTTTGTGTATTTGGTGTAATGAAATGTGTTTATGCGGTTTAAGGTTCAAAAAACACATTATTTTCCACATACTGTACATTATTGTTGTTGAGATGAATGCAATGCATCTCACTATTTTAACATTTTATACTAATATAAAATAAATAGGAAAAAAATGTATACTCATTCGTAATATATTTTTGTGTGTGTTTGTGTTTTGAATTATTACCAGAGTTGGCTGGGTAACAAGGATGAAACAAAGTTATAGATCATGCACATTGAAATAAATGGATGATTTATGAGCTATATTAAAAATGAAGTTCATTTAGCACCAACTTTTCTTTATATAGATGTTTTGTGTGTGTTTGAGTGTGTATCTTGCACTAGTCTTGCACTTGTGTGTTTGTTGGTGATTTGCAACTGGAGGGTCATTACGTAAAGACAACAAAGCCTCTTATCCATTTTACTGTGCTTGGACACGGTCCATCTTTTAGTCTATTTATTGCTTTTCATTGGACATCTAGTCACTTTTTGCTGGTCTTGGATCGGTGCCCTGTTCTCATGCCCAACCTTAACTAACAAAAAGTTAAAAAAAAAAATTCCAGCAAAGGGCCATGTGTACTGCTGATCTCCAGTTCAAGTTATATCTCTCATCAAAAATACATAATTGACCAAGCAAATAAGGAAATGTTTGTGTGAAGAAATTTTGTATTGTGTGAAGAAATAGAACGGCAAAAGTAGGAGATGTGAGGAAACGGAAAATAAAAATATTAAAGTGTAATTTGAGCATGTTTACTGTATGTTTGCTGAAACCCCACACGGCATCAATACTGAGAACTGACATTGGGTTTACGCTATTGTTTATAGGTCAGTACGGTGAAAATAATGAACTGTACAAACAGGTTTCGGCATGCAGGTGTCAAGGAAGGGTTTCTATCTGCTATAACTCTGCAGCATTACATCTCAGTCCTGATAGGATTACGAGACACTTCAGGAGGGCATAAGTGCCACGTGAAAGGTTACTGGTAATTTACCATGATTATAACAAGTATGGCACACCAAGTGGTTTTTACTCTGTCATAATTTCAGAATAAAAAATGCTTCTCAGCTTAGCAGTGGGGCAATACCCTTAAAAGTGCTCCTTTGTGTTTTACCTATTAATATTAATATGCACTTTTAAGAGGTATCAAATAGTGTCCATTTAACTGAAAACGATTTGTCTATAGACATAATGTCAAATATTGTCTGTTAAGATCTATATAGTGTTTGTCAGCAACAGCCTATCTATGCTAAGTGATAATCAAATGTTACCAAATGGTTTTTGATATAAAGATTTTTGCCTTTGGAAATCTTCACTGTAA